TGGGTTTCCTCCGCGTGCGCCGGTTTCCCCCACAGTCCAAAGACTTGCGGTACAGGTGAATTGGGTAGGCTAATCTGTCTGTAGTGTGTGTGTGTGTGTGAATGTTTCCCAGAGATGGGTTGTGGCTGGAAGGGCATCAGCTGTGTAAAAATGTACTGGATAGGTTGGTGGTTCATTCTGCTGTGGCGACCCCGGATTAATAAAGGGACTAAGCTGACAAGAAAATGAATGAATAATTAATTAATTGTATTATTATTATTATTATTATTATTATTATTATTATTAGTATTATCATTATCACTATCACTATTATTATTATTATTATTATTATTATTATTATTATTATTATTACTATTAGCAGTTTTTAATTAAATTTTATGAGCAGAAACATAAAAAAACTGTATATCCTAAAGTAATATTTACTTTTGACCACATTTTGTAAATTATTTTTACTTTGTTTTAGTTTTTTTTTATTAACACATTTTTTTCTCTAAATAAATAAAATAATTCATTTGATTCAATTGATTTAGTTTTTACAATTATTTACAAAAAGCATCTTCTAATATTGAAAAAAAAAAACAATTAAAAATACTAGTTCACTGTAAAAATAGTTCATACTGTATACCAAAATGATTCTTGTCAGTTAATATTTTGAGCAGTATACAATACAACAAATTGTAATATACAGTGGGGGAACAAAGCATACAACACGTCATCATTTTTCTCAGAAAACATATTTCTAAAGTTTACTTGACAATTGTCACTGGATGTTAGAAACAACCAAAGTAACAACCAAAGAAATGCATATATGCAAAGAAATTGACTAATTAGTTTACAAATTAAGTTATGCATAATAAAATGAAAAAAAAAATATTGAACACATAAAGTAAGAAGGTGTAGAAAGGTAGTGAAAGCCTAGACAGCAGCTGAAATCTCTCAGTAGTTATTCAGCCACCCTCTGCCCTTCCTCATTTAAATTAGTATTTGTTGCTTCAGTCCAACACCTACATTAGCAGGATGATGAAGATGAAACCAGGCTGGACATTTCACCAAGACAATGATTCAAAACGCAGCCAAGGAAACTCTTGAATGATTTCAGAGAAAGAAAATCAAGTTGTAGAATGGCCCAGCCAATCACCTGACTTGAATCCAACATAAAATCCAAAATAAAGATCAGATTTGACAGACGAGAACAACAAGACCATCAAGGTTTTTACACTGTTGAAAAACACACCTTAGCAATGCATGTGACTTTATTCTACACATAAGTGGTGTTTTTAAGCTGCCATCACCAAAAAGACTTTTATATAAAGTATTAAATTTGTTTCAGTAGCTCAGTACTTTCTCCTTTTGCCTTTTTCATTTTATTATTATTATTATTATTATTATTATTATTACTATTATTATTATTTTGTTTGTTTGTATTGTTTGGGTTTTAGGTTTGGGTTTCAAAATCTGATTCAATTCCATGTCCTTTGGAAATATTATTCCCAGGAAATAAAAAAATAGTTTTTCCCCACGGTAGCTTAACTATTATAATTATTATATATGCTGTTGTAAATACATGAATCTATGGTCTAAATTGTAACTAGTTTAATAGTTTATGTATTACATGCAGGACAAAGAAAAAAGAATGTAAATAAAATTAAATCAAATGCAGTTTGTTCCACTGATTTATGTTCGCCAAAAAAAAGTAATGACTAAAAATGTATTTACTTTTTTTATTTATTTATTTATTTATATTTTTTATTCTTGAGTAAATGACAACTAAAGCATGTTTAATCAAATAAATGTTTAAGTAAAGTATCAATAAAAAATAATGGAAAATCTCTAGACCAATTTCACACAAATTTTGACAATATTATTATATTATTTACATAATTTTGTTTAGAAAAAAAAAGGTTTTGTATAATTTCCACTTGTCATTTTTTTTTTGTTTCCCTTTTATCCCGTCAATCCTTGCTGCTTTTTTCTTTTTTCTCTATTCTGCAGCTCTGTAAATATTTCAGCCAGTCATCTGTCGGCATGTGTGTGTGTGGTGTGTGAAGTGTCATTTAGTCAGGTAGGCCGCGGTAGTAAAGTGCAGCAGGACAGAGACTATTGGAGGTGAAGAAGAAGAGTGAGGGAGCAGATGGAGGAGTGTAACTCTAATGGGATGTGAAAGCTAGAGGCCGATAACTAATGTGCTTCCTGTGTTCTTCCCCTCTTACTTGTCATCTCTCCCTCTTTCACTCAGAAAGAGCATCTCTCCGTTTCTCGATATGCGTGAGAGTGTGTGTGTCCAGTGATGCTGATGTGTGTAAGATGATGAAGATGATGATGATGTGTCTACTTGTGTGTGAAAGAGTAAAAAGAGAACGAGAGCGATGGTGATGAGGGGAAGGAAATGAGAGGTGACTGAGACGTTCACTTAGTAGACAGCATGACATTAACAGCGACAGACACCTTTCTGTGCGTATCGGCGGCACGCGAGCCTGCGTCTGTGTTTATCTGCATTTGCTTCTCATCCGTGATTTACTGCAGGTGAATAGGGTACAGTACTGTAAATAGCTAACAGTTGTATCTGTATTTACCCAGTTGATGGATTACATTACAAATGGAAAGTTTTGTATAATAAGCTTTCTAAAGTGTTGCTTAAAAATCCAAATATAGCATCGTTAATGAAATATTCACTAATTTGCAAACATTTCTAGCACAAAAATATGATAAAACATATGGATCTAAACCTGTGTTTACTTTGCTGCGATGTCAGCTCAGTGGCAATGGCATCATCTATCGACCCAACCCTAATAACATGTAAAACCGGATCATGAAAGGAACATTCAGACAGCAACTCATGTAAAAAACCTATATCATATTATTCTCTTACTCAGATTAACGCAAATAATTCGATTACTGATGTCCATGTAAACGCAGCCATTGTACTATTTTAGCAAACTATAATACATTAATTGAAAGATTATTTATTCTGCTTTGAGATGATATATAAACTTCAATTTATAAAAAAAAATACACTTATGAGTTGCTCTGTGGTCTAGGGTTATATATTAATAACACCATAGTGTGTCATATTTTAATATTTTTCAGCTGTAATATTATATTGATACATGGATGCCCATATCACAATATAGTCAATATTTGAATATACTATTTAGTTAAATATTAAAATACGTTTCTTTACAGTCCTCTACCATAAATGTTGGTCTTTTGTTTTTTTCTTGGCAAGCATCACTTTTAGCATGCAGTAAGTTATTACAACAAATATGGCAACATTTCTGAAAGGTGCACATATTTAGAATGTTATTATTTCATTACATTTACATTTAGTCATTTAGCAGACGCTTTTATCCAAAGCGACTTACAAATGAGGACAAGGAAGCAACTTACACAACTATAAGAGCAACAATGAATTAGTGCTACAGGCAAGTTTCAGGTCTGTAAAGTCTAAGAAGGAAAGTATTAGTACTTTTTTTTTTTTTTTGGTACAATTAGTGTGATATCCAGAGAGGCAATTGCAGATTAGGAAGTGAAGTGGAGACTAAATAGTTGAGTTTTTAGTCGTTTCTTGAAAATAATTATTAAAGTGTTGGTCAGTTTGCCTGCTTCACAAACCCATTTATTTGAACTGAAGGAACACAATTGTATTAAGGCATGCAAACTGAGATTTTTTTGACCTACATTAATTAGATTTTTAAATATGTACTGTAATATTTGTATTGATGATTGAATATGTGTTTATTTGTGTGTTTGATTTCTGTTTTTTGTTTGTTCAGTGTATGCAAATGTGGGCCTAGAGTCCAAGACAAATCAAGGGGACAATAAAGTGTGAAAAAAAATAATAATTCTACTTCTACTTTAATTTAAAACTTTAAAAAGGCAAATTAGTTCAAATGTGTTGCCAAAGATTTCCTTTGCAAAAATTGCAAAATATGTTTAAAAGCCACCATAATGCTGTATTGTGAGCCATTATCATGATCAGGGGTGCGTTTCCCAAACAACGTAACTCGCGGCTGAACTATCATAGTAGGATGCATAATTTGAGAAAAGAACGATGTAGTGACAAGTGTTTCCCAAAACCTGTAGTTTCTCTGTCGCAGATCTATCGTTTGAACCATGTTAGTTATGACGTAAAATGCCCATAATGATGCAATAAATAGGGCGGAGTAACTACTTCTTTAAAGAAGAACCCCATCATCTCTTTCTGCAAATTATATTGTTTTACACGCGCACGCATTTAAAAAGAATCCAATATTAGTTTTGGTAAAAACATGCACTCGCTTTCCATATTAATACAAATATATGTAAATGACACATATAGGACCAATGTTTCCTTTACAAACATTATTGAGAATATTCCATAGTCTATTCTAAAACATAAAATCACTTACAAAACGCATATTTCAATCTGGTATATAACTCATATAAATAAATAAATAAATAAATAAATAAATAAATAAATAAATAAATAAATAAATAAATAAATTTATTAAGAAATGACATTTTATATTTATTATTTATTAGTGTTAGGACTGCGTTGTTGTTTGTGTCTTTGATTTTGATTCCAGATTGGGGGCGTGCCTTCAGCGCACCTGATGCTGGTCAGCGCCCTTATTTAAACCCCGGCAGAGAGTTTGTCGGGGCCGCTGTCCATTCACTTGGCAGTTGGCCAGAGCCGCACTCCTATTTGGGCCTTTATGCTTTGTTTCGCATCCATACATTATCACTGACAACATTTACAGCATCCATACATTTGCATTTCACACTGATTGAACATACTGATACTGATATTTTGATTATATAATTTAAATTGAGCTAAATAAATATTCTTTTTGATTATACTTCTCCTTGTCGTCTCCCTCATTATGTTACATCCTTGAGCCAGGTGTAACAATTAGGAAATGAAAAAAATTATACTTTAATAATAATATTAATAATATGAATGATGACAATTATTATTATCATCATTATTATTATTAAGTAGGATTTTGTTTATTTTTTTATTTTTTGGAAAAATCTACTTTTACAATTTGACACATGTAAACTAGTGCAGAAATGTTCTAACCAACAGGCCCTCGTCATATACAGTACAAATAGTTAATAAATTACCCACTCTAAATTAAAAGTATTAACGTATGCTGTTTTTTTTTTTTTTTGTTTGTTTTCACAAGCTTTGGAGACGTAAATAATGTAACATAAACATAAATTCAGCTTTTAAATAATAGTTTACCTATAGCTTTCACCATGAGCCACGGCTGTTTTCAAAATGACATCAATGTTTTCAAAGTGCACTGTGAAAGTGACAAATGAAATTAACAAACTTTGTTTGTAACGACACAACTTGTGACCTTAGTTGGCTAACGAGGGTTTTCAGAAACCCATCCCAGATCATATCACTGATTCCTTAGTTGTTACAAAGTGGATTTGGAGAATGTAATTTATTTACTTCATAACTGACAAAATACAATAAAAATAAACAAAATAAAAATCATCAAAACAGTATAATATATGTAGGCCTATATATTAATAATAATAAAAACTGCTTTTATTCAAGCCAAAATAAAACAAATAAGACTTTCTCCAGGAGAAAATAAATATTATAGAAAATACTTTAAAACTTTCCTTAATTCGTTAAATTTTACTTGAGAAACATATGCATTTTTGCTCAATTGTGCCAATTGTTACAAAATGTAATGGATGAAAGTGAGATTTGACAGATATTGGATTTAGCACATGGATGGGAGATTCATCTCTAGGAAAGAGTGAATGCATGAATATGGACAGCAAGACTGTAAATGTGATGTGTTTTGGCACTGACCTGAATTTAGAAAACCATACACAAGAGTGATGCATCTGATTCCGCAGGATACTCACTTCT